TGGTTCAAGATCTCCACGCTTGGATAAAGAAGTCCAGTTTCGGCCGCATAAACATTATGATTGCTCCAGTGAATCAGTTTTTATCAAACTAGGAGAATTGCCCGGTTTACAAAGTTCAGAACTGAAACCAAAGATTTGGCTACCTTTGAGGAGTGTACCGAGGGTTTAAGCGGGGACATGATTAACGTTCACAAATCCTTCGACGCGTCCACTTCTCCCATTGGTTTGCCATCTAGAGGTTAGGTGAACTGGTTCTGTCGACACATATAGTAGCGCACTTCGAACATTGTCAGAGTCGGTATAGGTTTGCACTCAAATACTCCTCGTTATCTGAAATTTGGATGACGCTCCAAGGTTTGATATCGTTGGCAAACCTGGCAATATCACAACTCAGTTCACTGATCCCATCCTTGCCTCAAGTAATGAAAAGGGTACGGAGCCAGGAACGGAGCCTTCGGGACACCATTCTGCTGCGTAAAAGCGTCTGTGCTCTTATTTCAAGTCTAGTTGCTGTTTGAAGAATCCGAAATTGTCGCCTGCGTCCTTACCGTATGTAAAACATTGATTCCTCAAAATGTTAAATTTACTTTTTATTGGGTCATTTATTACGGCTATCTCGACAACCGAAACTCCTCATAAACCGTCTTCAGTCAAACAAGACTTTGCCGATCGTAGAGGGGATTAACAAAACCAGTTAATTAGCATATTTAGGGGCGCTATTCGTTTTAAATAGTCCGAATTTAGGACTCCTTCCGCGCACCATATACTACCTAGCTATTTTTTTTAATTTGAGGAGTCGACTTATTGCGTTTTAATGACGTTGCTCAGTGCCGTCCATTCCGTTTCTTTCTTTCCACCTTTTTCAGTTTTTAGAAACGTTACTGGCTAAGATGAATAAACAACATAAGTTTAGCAATTCGAGGGCCAAAATAGTAGTTACATCGAATTCATTGCGTCACCCTCGAAGTTTATAATTTGTACCCATATATTCCATGTCCCCAAGTTGCTGCAACGAGATTAGTCATTTAGTGGGTTCGACAAGGAGAATAAATATGTCTTCAATACGACTTAGTTTCATTGACTTCAAACGCTGTTTGTGTTTTACTAGATGACTCAAAATGTTAATCTCCGGGCCTGGCACATCGCTGTTTGGTGTCTCGATGGCATCTGGCATGCGCTTGTCGTCGTCGGAGTTGGCTACTACGTCCTTGCTGGAGGTGGAGTCTATGCAGAGGCGAGATTCTACCCTCCTGGCACCTCCTATGCTACCATCGACATGGATCTCTTCGGTTCGGCTGTCTACACCCTATTAGTCGTCACAACTAACCTACGAATGCTGGTCGCCTCAAGAACCTTCACCAAGCCCAC